ACATATTTTTTATTACGGCATTTTATTCAACGTAAAAACGCAAACAACTTTTACTTGAAAAATTTTTTATACGACCTCTATTTTCTAAGATATTTACAAGATCTACAAAGAAAAAAAATAAATATCTACAAGATTATTGGTTTCAATAATTTTTTACTTGAATTCTATCAACTTCAGCGGAAAATATGAAGAAATAAAAATTGCTTATTTTGTTTTCATAGAGCTCTGTGAATTTTTTCAGAATTTTGTGTTAACTTTTTAGTACTTCAAGAAAATGTAAGAAAATGAAGTACTAAAAAGTTAATATAAAATTCTGAAAAAATTCTCAGAGCTCTATGAGAACAAAATATACAATTTTTATCTCTTTATATTTTCCGCTAAAGTTGATAGAATTCGAGTAAAAAATTATTGAAACTAATAATCTTGTAGATATTTACGTAAATATCTTAGAAAATAGAGGCCGTATAAAAAATTTTTTCAAGCAAAAGTTGTTTGCGTTTTTACGTTGAATAAAATGCCATAATAAAAAATATGTGTTTCTATTTAAAAAAGCAAAGTTGACCTTGTTCTGACCTTGGCCACGCCATCCTATGTCAAATAACTACTATCGTTGAATGCGTTTTTTTAAGCCTTACAACTTTTGTCTGAAACATTTTTCTCTAAAATGCTTCCCCGTCGAGTTATCTTGCCGTTCCGGTACTTTTGCTATACCCTGTATATCAAGGAATATGAGAAGAAAACTGTTTGTCTCTACCCATGCATTGGCTCATCCGAGCGATCGAGCAACACGATTAATGATCAGTCAACATTTTGTATGGCCAAGAATGAACAAGGAAATTACCAATTGGGCAAGAGCTTGTCATTCCTGTCAACAAAATAAAATTCACAGACACAACAACACCATTCCGGAACATATTCCCATATCAGAAGGACGATTTGATCATATACATGTTGACATAATCGAACCATTACCGAACATCAAAAACTATCGGTACTGTGTAATATTAATCGACCGTTTCACGAGATGGCCTGAAGCAGCACCCGTACAAGACATATCAGCAGATACAGTAGCTATATTAAACGGCTGGATAGCACATTTTGGTGTACCTATAACGATAACAACGGACCAAGAAAAACAATTTGAATCCCAGTTGTTTAACGCGCTAACGCAAATGATGGGAAGCCAACGCAAAAAAATCTTAGTATATCACCTGGAGACAAACGGAATCATCGAAAGATGGCACAGGTCATTAAAAACTGCAATCCATTGTCATCAAGATAAAAATTGGATACAAGCATCACCTTTAGTACTTCTGGGCTTACGCACCAGCATTAAAGAAGACATAAAGCAGAATCATTTACTACATTGGCAGAACTACCCAGATAACATAGAGATGAACAGAAGTTCCTAGAGAATTCATTTTAAAGAATAGATATAGAATTAGAAAAATGAATACACGAAGAATTCTTGAAGAATTGACCACAATAAGTTCGTCTTGAAATATTCCTTAGGACTTCATTGTAGCGAATACTTTGCAACTTAATTCCTAGAAAACTTTGAGAATTCATGAGGAATTAAGACTAAGGCAGAGAACGAGACGTAAGCGTCGTAATCGTAAAGTAAGGCAGAGAAAAACGTAAGCGTAAGACTAGTAGCCTTTCATGATTTACGTTTTTCTCTGCTTTATTTTACGTCTACAACTATGACGCTTATGTCTCGTTCATTTGCATTAGCCCTTACAAATGTTTTGTTTATAGTAATTACTTTTTGCGCCTATATTCAGTACATGCCAGTAAGTGTATAATAATTAATTTACATATTTACATATAAATTGTTTAATTTATTTTAATTTGCAGTTATTTATATTTTGTGGAATTAATTATATAGTTTTATATAATAGAGCAAAGAGAGGAAATTGGTATTAAAATAACTTTTGATATATAAAATTTTCACCTGTATCAATAATAAGTATATTTATGCGAAGTATATTTTATCCTTAAGTTTGTATTCATGTTTCTAAAATCCATATATAGTTCTAACAAACTCAATCGCATTATTTGGAAGCCATTTATTTTTAGATTTTGAATTACATATTTGAAAGTGCGCTTTACTTACATTTAAAGCTCAGTTAGAACAGTATATATAACAGTATAACAGTTATAACAGTATAGTATCCAGCGAAAAATGATTCGTTGGTTGATGTCAAAATGACATCAAATGGATGTGGAGACAATAAAATTTATTAAATCCGAAGAAATCTTTTTGAGTTGAAGTAATTATATGAATACTCTAAAAAGTTCTGAGGAACTGCAATCATGGTGCATGC